CCCCCAGGATGCCCCATGTGTCCCCTATACCCCCAACACCCCATGCCAAACCCCCTGGGATGGGTGCCCCACGTGTGACACCCGCTATCAGGTACCCGTCCTCCCTTGGGGACAACCAGCACCCTCGGGGGGGGTGGCAGGAGATGCAGTCCCTTTTTGGGGGGCCAGCTGACATCTCTTGGTGTGTCCCCCCACAAAACCCCCAGGCCACGCTGGAAAAATGTGCCAAGTGTGGGGAGCTGATCACGGAGCGCATTGTCCGCGCCCTGGGGAAGGGCTACCACCCCGGCTGCTTCTCCTGCGCCGCCTGTGGCCGGGCCATCGGCGCCGAGAGCTTCGCCGTGGACGAGCGGGACGAGGGTTACTGCGTGGCCGACTTCTACCGGTTTGGGGAGCGCAGAAATGGGGGGAACATCCCCTGTTTTGGGGGGGGTCATCTCATCGCCGTCATCTCGCACTGCTCCCGTTTGCTCCCGTCAGGAAATACGCCGTGGTGTGCAGCGCCTGCCAGCGCCCCATCATCCCCCATGAGGACAAGGACACCTACAAGATCGAGTGCCTGGGACGCACTTTCCACGAAAGCTGCTACCGCTGCGAGGTACGGCCCCGGCAGGGCTCGGGGTGCCCCCCAGAAAAGCCGAGGGGTTTGGCATCGAGCCTTTGCAAAGCACGGCCCCAGGGCTCGCAGCACCCGGGGTTGTTTTTTAGCCAGTAGTTTATCTTGCGAGCGATGGAGAGGGAGGGAAAAAAATAAATCGTGTGGAAAAAAATAAATTGGGGGAAAAAAAAAAATAGGGGGAAAAAAATAAATCAAGTGAAAAGGACAACGTGGTCAGCAAGGAGAGCTTCGGCTTTTCATGCTTTTGATGTAGTTTGTTGCTTTTTCTGAGCGCTGGTGGGTTTCGCAGGGAAGACGGGATGCCTTGGCACGGTATCTCGCATGCAATGCAGCATGGGGACCCCTAAAACGTGGCGTCCCTCTCCCCTCTCGTCCCCAGAGCTGTGGGACGCCCCTGTCACCGGAGCCTACGGAGAACGGGTGCTACCCCCTGGGCGACCACCTCCTCTGCAAATCCTGCCACGTCCGCCGGCGAAACGAGTCGTCCTGCTAAAACCCCGCAGCTCGACCTCTGTCTTCCAGCACCGGACACCAAAAAGGGGGTGAACCCACCGAGATGCACCCCGCAGCTGCTCCCGGGTGCCTGCTGCATCCCTAAATAGCTGCAGAATCGGTTTTCGTCACCAAAATGCACCCAGGACCCCGTCCTGCCAGGCTGGCCAGGCGGAGAAGCGCAGATCTAGTGTCCAGACATGGCTCTGTGGTCGTTACGAACTTAAAAAGCCCTGTCAGGGCAGTGGTGGCGGAGGAGCTGAGGTTTCATTCACTTATTTCTTTTTTTAAACTCCTTTTCTGAGGCCAGTTTGGTTTTCTTGGGTGTTTTTTTTCTTTCTTCTCGAGCTTCCTTGGGGTTTTACTGAAACATTTCTCTCTGTGGTGATGCAGGGAGCAGGCACTGATTCAGTTACTCGCAGTTAAATAAAACCCTGAGTTTAAAAACCCACGTTTCTTTCATCCGCCCTGCATCCCAAACCCATAAAATGCAAGTTTAAAAATAAGAAAAAAGCCACTTTTTTAGATTTTTATAGGCATGGCAAGAGTTGAGCTGTTCAGGACAATAACGCAGCTGATTTTTGGGGTGCAGCAATTTGGCAGATGCCGCTGTCACCTGGGGGACAGCAGAGGATCCTTTTTTGAGGCTGGATTTGGGATTTTGTGACGTGCTGTGGTGTTGATGAAAGGGTGTTTGGTTTGGATTTTTTTTTTTTTTTTTTTTCTGACAGCCTGCACTGTCTGGGCTCCCTCTCCACCAAGTCCTGAAGCCGGCAGAGGGCAGCCGGAGCACAAATTCCCTCATCAGGCAGAAAAGCTCCAGCTTGAACACTCTTATATCCGACAGCGCTGGGATGCCGGGACAGACCGACAGCCCCGTTTTTGCACATTTTCCAAGATAATATCGCTCTGCTGTCAGAAGCTTTTTGATCTTTTCTCAATCCAAACCCCAAACGCGCAGAAATTAGACCATTTCCCTGCACGTCCGACATCTGTGCACCCGGTGCCACCAGTGCTTAGCGGTTTTGTTTGCAAGGGCGTTGCAAACCAGCCAAAGAGGGGTTTTCTTTTTAACCGAAAGTGCTTAAAAAGCCACAAATCGAGAGCAGAGAATAGCAAGAGCAGTTGAGGTGATGTTTAATGTTTTCCTGATGGGGAAAAAAGGGAGTCACTAAAAAAAAAAAAAAACAGACACCAAACCAGCAGCCATACGCTTCTAGGTCACGTTGTATGATGTCTCTCTGGCGCGTGCTGTGTTTATGAATGAAAGGGTTAATGTATAGTTAAGGTATATGCACCGGAGTCTGAAGGGCTGGTTGATTAATCACACCAACCCCGCAACTATTTCCTGCCGACTCTCCCCGTCTACAAAGCCGATTACTCAACGTTCATCATGTGTCTATGGCCCGTCAGTCAGGTCATAATCGCTATGAACCTACGTGTAAATAGGATGTTAATGTAAGGTCGCGGTCCTTCCCCGTCACATAAGTAGGTGGCTTTGGGGACAGCTGGGTGAGGACCCCGTGTCCCACGCTGGGGAAGTCCCGTGCTCGAAGTCAGCTCTCACTTTCCAAATCCTCTCACCCTGCGGGGAAAAAAACAGGCACCAAAATGATGCTAAAAAAGTAAAAAGACATCGGCAGGCTTGGCAGTGGCCAAGGGCAGCAGGGAAGGGAAGCCCTGGAGAGCAAAGGGTTGCCAGTTTTTTTGCAATATGGGTGTTTTTCCAAGTGAAGTTTTTGGGGAGGATGAAAACGACGATGCTGAACTGTGTTTTGGAGGTGTTACTGCATTGCATGCTGGCTTGAATCCTCTGCGCAGCACCCTTGGGTGCTCAGCAAGCTCTGCTACCCCTCCGCAGGGCTGACGGTGAGAAGGGGTCGGGTATTTCCCCCCCAGAGCTGACGGGGTCGGGTGTTTCCCCCGCAGAGGAAGCCAGGATGGGCTGTCAGCACCAGGACTGCCGCAATTTTTGGCTGGAGGCAGGCAGGGAAAAGTTTTTATCAACATGAGACCTTGGAGAAGATGTTGGAGAGCGAGGAGAAGGGCAAGGCACAGCTGGAGAGTTTGGCAGTGCAGCGAAGGGAGGCAGAAGGGGCCAGATTTGGCATATTTTTTCCAGGAGGAGAGGATGACAAGGGACAGGGATGGATGGAAATGGAGGTGAGATGATAAAAGACTGGTTTAAGCCATTTTCTTCTTGGATGAGGGGAGAAGCATTACAAGCCAAGGCACGGGGAGTGTCACTAAGCCTGAAAAGCACAGCCCTGTGTTTTCCCCCCGGGAGGATCTCAAGGAATTTCCAGCACTGGCCAAGCCGCGTGGAGGAGATTTCGTCAGGGTGAGGCTGCGGGAGCTGGGTCCTATCCTGCTGCCGAGCAGGACCACATTGGCTGTGACAGCTCAGCCTGTCCTTGGGCTCCTTGCCTCGTTGCAAGCGCTTTTGCAAGCTCTCAGCTCTCCTAGCAAAAATAAAACAAATAAAAAACATGCACAGAGCATGCTGCTCTGCCCTGGGAGCCCCCCCAAAGCCTTGCAGAGCCTCCCCCAACACCACCTAGGTGTAAAACCCTCTCAAGGTCTCTCTTGTCTGCCTTCCAACGTCGGTGCAAAAGGGCAAAGAGGATTGCATGCCTCCGAATCGCACTGGCCGGGCCCTGCCCTTACTTCGGCTGCTGCAATAAGCCCGTCTTTTCTTGCAATCCCTTCTGGCAGGCAAAGGAGAGCAGGGAGGGACCTGGCTGCCCTCCAAGGAGAAACAAATGCAAATATTTCTTCACTTCAGGCTGGGTGCGGCCTGGGGATAAAATTTCCCTGGGCTTTCCCAGCAAAGGCATCGGATACAGCACCCTGCTGCGAGCCCCATTTGCTCCCAGGAATATGATGGTGTTTCACGTTAAAAAAAAACCACAAAAGTTATTTTGCAATGCAAGGGACAGCACGGTTTTTAGAAAGAGCTTTTAAATTAAAGGAGGAGCTGACAGGCATGGCTGTAGTACTTTTAAATTGGTGGTCAAAGCGTTGCTTCATAACAAATAAGGCCTTTTTTGCAGGTTTTACTTGCAAGCTGAAGATTTTGGGTAAAGCAAGTGGGTAAAGGGAAATGAGCTGGAAAGTGCCTTTCCCCGACATCCCCCCAGTCAGCCGTGAGAAATGCGAAAAGCAGAGAGGGAGAGATGAGCTGGATTCCTCGCGTGCCTTCACTCTGCCATCACCGCCTCCAAGGTGCCGGGAAGGAGCTGGCTGCAGAGAGGGAAAGGCTGCAGGATGGGAAACTGAGGCCAAAGCAGCCGTCAGGGCCCTGCTGGCTGGAAAAGCTGCTCAGAGGAGGGTTGGGTGCTCAGTGCTGATGATGTGTGTGTTTTTTTTTTTTTTTTCCCAAAGGGATGGAAGGAGCTGGAGGAAAACTGTGTTTTTCCTTTGGTCGACCCAGGTTAATCACAACCATATTCCAGCTGGCTTGCTGCACTATCATGCTTCCCTGCAGCGTTTAGACCCATTTTCTGCCCTTTTCCACCTTCGACATAACCTAAAAACCTAACATTTCTTAAATGAAAAGTTGTCTGATCCTGCTGGCAAAGGGAAAGGGGGGCAAAACCAGCAGGGATTACTCTGGGAGCAGCCCAAGCCGCGAATTTCCCCGGCTTCATTGTGTGGCACAGGCGGGATCTACAAAAAAAAAAAAAAAAAAAGGCATTATTTTTTTTTCCCCATTTTCCCTGCAAAACTGAAACACCCAGCGCCACGATTTATTTTTAAAGCACGCCATGTTTTTGATACGCGAGGCAAAAATCGATGTAGCTAGTTACGCAAGCATGTTACCAGGCTGCAAGTGCTACACTGGGTTATTTAAAAAAAACAAAAAAACCCCCAAAATAAACACCAAAACCAAAAAAACCCAAAAAACAAACAAAAAAACCCCCAAACCAACCCTCCCCATTTCTGAAAATAGACACACAGCACATGCCTGCAAACAGGGCTTTTGACATTTTATATCCCAGCTTTCCTTCACCGTATCAGCAGCAGTTACAGCATCCCACGGCCCTATTTCACAAAAAATTAATAATTTTGCCCAGATCTGTCTTCAAGCAGCTTCTGTTACATCTTTATTTTCTTGGAGTGTCCGTTAGAGCCCATACCTGAAGGGTTTTGCTAAAAAAAAACCCCATAAAACCAAGATATTTCTCTCAGAGGTTATCCCGTTTGTCAAGGCAGCTTATTGACCTCGGGAAAAAACAACGAAGGGAGAAGGAAGGGGGGGAATAGCTCCTAAAAATAAATATATCCTTTAATTCTCCGTGCGGCTGAACTTTTCCCTCACAACCAAGCCGGAGGAATAGACTGTAATCTCCTTTATAAGATTGCTTCGTCCCAGGCTGAATCTTGCTGAGGCAATCGACCTCCACCCGTCGCTTTAAGGGCACCCCTTTTTGTGGAGAAAAAAAGCAAGAGAAGGGAAGGTATTTGCCCTACAAAAGGGGAAGGA